GGGGGGGCAGAGAAGAGGCGGGGGGGAGGGGGGAGAAGAGAAGGCGGGGGGAGGAGTGAGGCTGGGGCTCACTCCTGTCCGCCCCCCACCCTCCTCCTTTGTCACCCCCCTCCTCGTCCCCCGTCCGCCTCCCCAGCCCCCCCACCCCCACCCTGCGCACTCCTCCCCTAGGCCCCAGCAGCTCCCCCCCCCCCCCCCAAAACCAGCCGATCCTCTCGTCTTCGCCCTGGGGGAACCAGGCCCTGAGGGAAGGAGGTCCTGGACCCTGGGGCCTCCCCCCCGGGGCCAGCTTTTCGTCCTGAGTCGTTTCCCGACAGCCCCTGGGGCCCGTGAAGGGACCCGAGGGGGGCTCGAAAGCGGCGAAAAACCTCAGAGGACACGTTTCCGACCCGCTTCCCATCATGTCGGCTACGCGCAGACGGGGGGGAACCGGGGGGAGGGGGGGGAGGCCTCTCAGAAGCACCCCTGCCTCTCAGAAGGCGCGGGCCTCTCTGTGGCTACGGGGCCGGCGCCCTCTGAGAAGCAGCCTGCTTCTCGACGAAGCTTCCCCCCCCCTCCCCCCCCAGACATGCGACGTCCTGATTTTTTCAGGACGGCGTCCCTGGAAGTCCCAACCCCTTCCCCGGGGCCGGTTTTTCATCCTGAGTCGTTTTTTGACGGTCCCGAGGCCCGGCGAGGGCCTCCCAGGGCCGAAAACGGCCAAAACCAACCCGTCCTGATTTTTTTACGACGCCATCATGTCTGGACCTGGTTACCCCCGCGTGCGCGCCGCCAACCACGGCGGCCTCGGCGCGGCACCACCCCGCTGTCGCGCCGCACCGGCCTGGCAGGCCTGCCGGGAACAGCAGCGGGCGGCGCCGCCAGTTGCCCCGGCCGCCGGGCCACGAGCCGCCTCCTCCCCCCGACCCTCCCCCCCCCTCCTCCTCCCCTCTCCTCCTCCTCCTCCTCCTCCTCCTCCTCCTCCCTCCTCCTCCTCCTCCTCCTCCTCCTCCTCCTCCTCCTCCTCCTCCTCCTCGGCTCCTCCTTCCCCCGCCCCAGGAGCAGGTTCCAGCAGTTCGCCGCCGAGGGCGGCGCGCCGGGCGCCGCGGCGCGGGCGCCGAGCGAGGCGCGCGCCCCGTGGGCCCCAGAGCGCGCCGCCTCGCTCTCCAGCCTCGTGCTCCTGAAGCCTGGCGCCCCTCGCCTCTCCTGAAGCCTCGCGCACCTCCTGCCCTTCACCAGGCCTGCGGGGGGGGGGGCAGGAGGAGGAGGAGGCAGGAGGAGGAGGAGGAGGAGGAGGAGGAGGAGGAGGAGGAGGAGGAGGGAGGCAGGAGGAGGTGGAGGAGGAGGAGGAGGGGATGGGCATAGGGGGACGCATCGACCCCCAATCGCCCCCGTGGAGCGCCGATGGGGGTCTGGTGGCCCCACCCCGCCCGGTAACCTGCGGATCCGCTATCGGGGGCATATCGCCAATCTGTCGGCGACGTGTCGCCGATTCCAGGTCGATGTTCTCGCCCTATGCCATTCCCCCCCCCTATCGCTGCCCCTTACCTCAAGCCTCCTCCTTGGGTACGGCGTGTGCCTTTCTTCGGCCTCGAGCTATGAGTTGCTTGGTGAGCCGCCGCGGCGGCAAGGCGGCGATCTGGCCGACTGTCCAAGTCCCATTCCATTCCATTCCATTCCATTCCATTCCATTCCATTCCATTCCATTCCATTCCATTCCATTCCATTCCATTCCTCCTCTCCTCCAGCTTTTATACTACCCTCGATTCCATATTCCTCCTCCTCCTCCTCCTCCTCCTCCTCCTCCTCCATTCAACTCCCCCTCCCTCCTCCTCCTCCTCCTCCTCCTCCTCCTCCTCCTCCTCCCTCCTCCTCCTCCGCTTCCTCCTCCTCCTCCTCCTCCTCCTCCTCCTCCTCCTCCTCCTCCTCCCCTCCCATTCCATTCCATTCCACCCCAGTCCATTCCAGTCCAGTCGATTCCAGTCGATTCCATTCCATTCCATTCCATTCCATTCCATTCCATTCCATTCCATTCCATTCCTCCTCCTCCTCCCTTCCCTCCTCGAGCCTCCTCCTCAAGCCCCATCCCCACGAGCAGAGAGCGGAGATCGAGCGGGGCAGGGCCCGGGGACGGCCAAAGGGGGAGGATCAGTGAGGCTCTGCGAGGGACCTCGGCTGGGGGGCGGGCACGGAGAGAGAGAGAGAGAGAGAGAGAGAGATTTGCGTCTGGGGGGGGTACGGGAAGTGTGGGGGGGAGGACGGGGGTGGGAACGGGATAGGAGGAGGAGGAGGAGGAGGAGGAGGAGGAGGAGGAGGAGGAGGAAGGGGAGAAGAAGAAGAAGAAGAAGGTTGAGCAGGAGGAGGAGGAGGAGGAGGAGGAGGAGGAGGAGGTGTGAGCCGCGAAGCCCGAGAGATTTGGGCGGAAGGACAAGCCTTCCCGAACGACACCGGGCCGCAGCGAGTGCGGACGGCCCACGCCGCAGGGCGCCCATGCATCTTGTATCGAGCACACCCTGCACATGACCTCCTTACCTTTCCAACCACATCCCTTCTACCCATCGGTCGTTGAACATAGGTATTTCTGGAGTCCCATATTCCAATCTACTTTAAGCGCCTTCCTACTCAAATTGTCAAGTGGCTTCACCTTTTATGTTCTCTTTAGGGGGCGGGCGGACACCTAATCTATTGTCAACGCCATCCCATGTCATGTTTCTACCTACTTATTCCGACCGATGGGTGTCTCTCCATGTATTACATGTGTGTTCTCAGGAGTGCATCAGCTTATGCACACGAAGCACCTGCGACACGCCTACGAAAGCATTGCCACGACGGCGACCACCGAGCCAGCCTGGCATCGACGAGAGCGACGTAAGAGAGCTGACGCCCGCACTTTTTCAGAGAAGCAAGCGCACGACAGATACTCGACGCTCAGCACAGCGCACAGCAACCACCGACATGCACGACAGACACAATGACTCCCACTGACTCCAGAGCACACGACGCCTTGACAAAGGGAGAATGAAAAGGTACAGGGACGCACAACTACAGCAGCACATGCAGAGGAGCCATCTCCCAGCAGCATGCGACCATCACCAAACAATCGGACGAACACAGCAAGCAACATACCGACCCACACTACCACCAGTACCACTTAGCCGAGGCCCACATACAACCCACGACTGCAGCACCAGCCCAGTGAACACCACCCCAACACGCACACATACGCACACACACACACACACACACACACACACACACGCACACACACACGCACACACACACACACACACACCAATGTCCAGACGCACATCTCGACCGCCACGACCCACCACACCGCGACCCAGACCAGCACCAACACCACGTGGCCAAGCTAGGGTATACCAACCCATGTTCGGCGCCAGCATGGCACACATATCATACACGGCAGCAGTCAAGCCCGTCTTGGGACGGTCTTGGGAGCGTACGGTGGAGACCCACGCCAAGAAACACCCTTCTTGCCTCCAGGGTGCCCTGGGTTTCTTGGGCTTCGATGGCTTTGCTATGGAAAGCGTGACGTTCCCACACCAAAAATAAATGGACGTCCTGGGGTCTCAGGGTTGGGTTTCTTGTGGAAGGTGTCTTGTGGTCGAGCTCCTACTGTACAGAAAAGTGGCGTTGTTACAAGCATAAACGCATGGCGCCCCACACTTGCGGACAAGAGTGGGGCGACGGCGGTGGGCGGAAGCTCTTGGGCCAGCATTGCCACATTTTGCAGATGTGCGTCCCACGCCAGATTGCCTCCATGAATTGCTCCCACCATGTGCTGCCCCCATACATGATCCAGGGCTCCGCCCCCCCCGAATCCCCTCTCAATTCGGCAGCGAGCGAGGGGGGGAAGTGAGAAGGAGAAGGCCTTCTCAGAAGGCTGCGGGATTTCCCAGAAGCCCTCACGCCTTCTGAGAATGTCTCTTTGAGAACAGTTTAAGTTTGTCGTTCACATCGGCCCTTTGGCCAGTCTCCGAGAGCCTCCAAGACAGCCCAAGAAGCTCGCAGTAGGGTCCAACACGAGCTTGGGGGATCACCTACGGGCATGCTGGAGGTTGAGGCCCCCAGCCACGCTGTATCTCTGATCCTCTCCCTCCCCCCCTCTCCTCCTCACCTATTCACCTCTTCCCCTCCCCTCTTCCCCCTCCACTCCCATTCTTACCCCCCTCCTCTGGTCCGCCGTCCCTCTTCCTCCCCCTCCTTCTCCTTCCCTCACCCTCTCCTCCCCTCCTGCGTCTGTCAGCCCAAGCTGGCAGGGGGCTGGGGGAGGTCCGCGCGAGTCCTGGCTTGAATGGAGGCCGCTCTCTGGCCACTGCCTCAGCAGCCGGCTGCTGCTGGTTTGCTGCCCGCTGTCTATGCTCTCAGACGGCGTGCCCTACCTCGCACCCTCGCATCCTGGCATCCTCCTCGCCTCCTTGCTCCTCCCCCCCGCCGCCTCGGCATCGGGAAGGGGGGGCTTATCACGGGGAGGTGGGTGATCAGTCGAGTGCTCCTGGGCGCGTGTCTCTTTCTGTTGTCGAGCGTGGAATCCAGGCCCCACGTGCGTCCCACGGCTGAAGCATGACTGCGATCGGCTCGCTCGAATCGACTCGAGCCGCTGCCCCACCGCTCCACCCACTTCCTCCCCCGCCTCCCCCTCCTCCTCCTCCTCCTCCTCCTCCTCCTCCTCCCCCTCCCTCCTCCCCCCCCCCCCCTCCTCCTCCCCCCTCCTCCTCCTCCTCCTCCTCCTCCTCCTCCTCCTCCTCCTCCTCCTCCCCCCCTCTCCTCCTCCTCCCTCCTCCTCCTCCTCCTCCTCCTCCTCCTCTCCTCCCCTCCCCCTCCTCCTCCTCCTCCTCCTCCTCCTCCTCCTCCTCCTCCTCATCCTCCTCCTCTCCTCCTCCTCCCCTCTCCTCCTCCTCCTCCGCCGCCGCCGCCGCCGCCGCCGCCGCCGCCTAGAGGGCGGGCGGCAGCGGGCGGCGCCCCCCCCCCCTCCCCCCCACCACACGGGCCGCGGCGAGGCGGCGCCCGAGCCGCGGCCGCTGCGGCTCGCCGACCGCTTCGGGCCCCGCTGGCAGGCGGCCCCTTAGGGGGGGGCTGCGTGGGGGCCTCCTGGCCGTCGCGCGCTCCTCGTCCGCGGCTCACTCGCAGTCCTCGCCGCTGCTCAGCTGCTGCCGCGTCGGCTTCGGCGCCCTTCATCGGTCATCGAGACTGCTCGCTATGAATGTGTACATGCGTGTATCTGTGCCTATATACATACCCATATACTGGGTATATATATATACATGTATATATATATATATACACATGTATATACTCGTGCTCCTCCTCCTCCCGCTCGCCCTCGGCTGTCCTGCCTTGTCTTCTCCGGCAGAGTGTTCCCCCTTCTCCTGCCCTCTCCCTGATCCTCTTCACCCCTTATCCTTCCCCCTCCCCCCTCCCCATTTCCCTTTCCCATCTGCGAGCTCGTCGTCGTCGCGATTCTGCCCCGTCGTGCCCCTCATCGTCCCCCTCGACTTCCACGTCACCTTCATCATCCCTCTTGCCACTGTCCCCTTCCTTCTCCTCCCTCCCTCCATCCCTCGGTTCTTCCCGTCCCACTTTCTCGACCCCCGTTTTTCTCCCCTCTCTGTCCTTCGCTCGTCATTGGTTCCTCGTCTTGCTCCTTTCCAGTCCTCCCCCTCGTGTTCTTCGTCTTTCCCCGTCTGTCATCATTGCCCATGGCTCCCAGTACCATCGTTGTCGCCCCGACAGGGGGTCAACACTGAGCTGCATAGGTTGTGCCATGTAATGCGCTGGACACCTCGTGGGCAAACAAAGGGTCCGTTGCTCCAGCGGGTGTGCCACCGGTTGCGCCACAGGTTGCCCCACAGATGCCGCCCGGGACAAGCAGTTCGCAACGATATCGTCTTTTGCCTCAGTCGTTTTGGCTTGTCTTCGAAATTTTGCGAACCATGCATCGCCGCATTCGCAGTTCAGGCAACACTTCATATAATTTGTCCAGCCATAGGGTGCGCGCCAGACCCTGCACTGGACCTTATCGCAATGCCCCAGGTCTGTCTACACTCCCCTCCATAGGTTGCGACACAGGTTACGCATTATAGGGTGCAGCAGACCCCCAGCGGGCCACCAACTTTGGATTTTCTTGGTCAGTTTGCATACCATCGGTTGCTCGCTATAGGTTGCCCCAGACCCCGCGTTGCAGCGTGGCACCACATCGCGATTACCTTGGCCTGTCTATGTCCCCTTGGTTGCGAGACAGGTTGCGCGCCCAAGGTTGTGCCAGAACCCCGTGGCACCAAATCGCGATATCCCCCAATATGTCTGCATGCCGCAGGTTGCGCCATAGGCTGCGCGACGTCACTTAAGCCAGACCCTGCGTGGTGTACCAAATTGCGACTTACCCAGCTTGGCTAGTTTCAATCGGTTGCGCTACAGGTTGCGCACCGAAGTTAGCGCCACACACGCGTGACAACACATTGCGATCTCTCGGGCCTGTCTATGTTCCATAGGTTGCGCCATAGGTTGCGCCAGGACCCGTGTGGCACCAAGTCGCGATGCCCCTTGCTTACCTACGTCCCCTAGGCTGCGCTACAGGTTAGGCGTCATGGGCAACGCCAGTACGCGTGGCACCAACTCGCATTTCGTTGGACTGCTTCCCTTCCACATGTTGCACCATAGGTGGCCAGGTTGCACCAGACGCCGCGTGGCACCACATCGCGATATTCCCGCCAGCCGATATTCCATCGGTTGCACTACAGGTTAGGCGTCATCACTTGCGCCAGTCACACGACACCAAAACGCGATCCCTCGGACTGCCTAGAATGCTGCAGGTTTCGCTATAGGTTGCGCGCCTTTCGTTGCGCCAGGCGTTTAGTGGCACCAAATCGCGATTTCCCCCGCCTGGCCACATGCCATACGATGCTCGTAAGGTTGGGCGTCATAGGTTGCGCCAAACACGCGTGGCACACATGTTCGATTTCTCGAGTTGTCTAAATTTCACAGTTTGCGCAATAGTTTGTGCACCATGGCTTGCGCCAGACCCCGCGAGGCGTCAACTCGCGATCTACATTCCAGAGGTTGCGCCATAGGTATCGCCATAGGTTGCGGAAAACCGATTTGGGTGAGCTGGCCCGAAGGCGTGCTTCGAATTGCACCCATCGCTGAAGTCGAACCCAACGATGACGTGGGCAGAAACGGAAGGGGCCCACTGGGCAGCCTCGGTTATCAGCACATCGTTGAGCGGTGCTGCAGCCTTCCTGAGCACACAGCCCCCCCTGGAGCTGCGCCAGCGCGGAGCAGCAGCCAGAAGTGCAGGTCCAGTTGC